AGGAATAAGGACTGGGACGTTAGTCCCTTTTCTGCTGGCTAATGAGGATATCATCATTTTGAAATGATCTGAGAATACAAGGGAAGCAGGGAGCTCTGGAGGAAGAAAGGAGATTTGCCACCCACAACACTGGGGTCCACGCTTGGCAGCATGGCCAAAGCGTGGTTGGAGTTGGCATGACCAGAAGAATGTGTGAATCGGAGGGTGTGGTGTCGCCCAGCTTTCCCAGGCTGCAGGATTGTAACCATCACCACTGCATTCTTCTTCCGTCTGCTGGGCACTAATCTTCCAGAGGGCTGGACTGGGGGTGGGGGGAGGGAGGGTTAAATAAATATCTGCATTTATTTCAAAAGGGGGAAAAGTTGATCATAATGACAGTTTGCAAGTGTACACAACTCAGGGTGTAAGGCACAAATTTACATGTGGAAAACAGGCTATTCACAGATGTAACCCCACGAAAAACCTGTGTGATCAAACCATTAATTGATGCAAGGTAGCAGCCAGCATATTAATTAGTTCACACGGTTGGTGGATTTTGTTTTCTGTCTCACATGCAAAGTGAAATGAGATGGCGTATCACAAGCTGGTGCCTTCACAGAAAGTAGGAACCACTGACAAAGCCATGTTGGCAGCAATGGGACGCGATGTTCCATTCTAAAAGTTCCTCTCCTGGTTGCTTTAGAAGTTAGGATCTGGAAGGACTCTTAAACTAATTACTCTTTTGCATGTTATAAGCCAGGGACCTGACCAGCAAATTTAACTGGTAGATTTAAATAAATATTCCCCTCTTAAGTTTTTCCTTTAGCTAGATATCAGTCCAAACACAAAGGTCAGAATTCCAGCTGCAACTTACTTACTCAGTGAATTTATTGTAAAAATAAACTCAATTATTCCAGTTAATGGATTTCACGTTAAATAGTTTAACTGTCAAGGGACTTTCTGAAGAGCTGTTCAGAGGATGGTATGTGGAGAGTCCTTTCCTTAAGGAAAAAAGCATGAAAAATAAATAGTTACTTGCGTTACCGGTCAGGTTATTTCATTAAGAGAGGAGCAGAAATTTATGACATAGTTGCCCAACATGGCATTCATCTGCTATAACAGAAAGCTGTAACACTGGTGGGCATTTCACAGTATCTGCGCATAGTAAACTTCTGCCCTTGTTAACGTCTGAGTTAGAATTATCAATGAATTCTCTTTTTTCTTTTTAATTTTCATGATTTTTAAAAATGTATCTGTGTTTTGCAGGTTGGAACGCTAGCCCAGTCGGGCAGCGCTCAGTGCAGTCATGGACTCAATGTTGCAATTGCTGTTCACGCGCGTGTGCATGTGTGTGATGTGCGCGTGCGCGCAAGCTTGCGCGCAGGCGCAAACGCGGGGCTGGGTGGGTGGGTATGTGCTTTTGGCTCATGTTTGTGATGCTGATTGAAGTCTTTCGTGAGTCCGACCTGTTGCAGAGTGTGGGGGAAGAGTGAAGGAAGAGAATGGAGGTGAGTCCCGCGTCGCGAACCTTCACCGAACAGCTTGGCCCAATTTTCAAGAGCGCCCCCCCCCCCCCCCCCCCCCCGCCCCCGGGG